GGCTAAACAAGATGGTGTTTTCCTGGGCTAATGTTAGAATTTTCAGACCGCAAGTCAGAAGAAAGATCCTTCTTTGCCGTTCTTCCTCTTCACCTCCTTCTAACTTTTGACAAGTTTAAAATTGTAGATGGTGATAAGAGGCATTTCACAACCTTTCCTTCCAAGCTGAAAAATAGATGAATCATGCCTAGCAACTTTTTTTCAAGATCTTTGCAGAGAGCCAGATAACTGGTTAGCAGCCATCTGTTGCAGCTCAGTTCATTTACACAGATTGTTTACACAGTGTGCCAGGCCCTGTGCAAGGTGCTGGTGACACAAACACTGAGACAGGACAGTCTCTATATAGTAAGTAATTAGATGTGTCTTTTTTTTTCTTTTATTATTCATATGTGAAATACAAGGGGTTGGGTCTTTCTCCCTGCCCCACCCCTCCCTTACCACCACTGCCGCCCCCTCCCTGCTCCCACCCCAATACCCAGCAGAAACTATTTTGCCTTATTTCAATTTTGTTGTAGAGAGAGTAAAGCCTATAATGGAAGGAAACAGGGTTTTTGCTAGTTTGAGATATGGATAAGTATAGCAGGGCATTACTCACTTTTGATTCCTGTTGCGTGTGTGTCCTTCTAGGTAATTTCCTTTTTGATCTAACCTTTTTCTCTAGTTCCTGGTCCCCTTTTTCCTTTTGGCTCTCATTGCTTTTAAGGTATCTGCTTTGTTCTCTGTGTTAATGGCAACAAATGCTAGCTAGTTTTTTTAGTGTCTTACCTGTCTTCACCCTTCCTTGTGTGTCTCCGCTTTTATCATGTGCTCAAAGTCAATCCCATTGTTGTGTTGCCCTTATCTAATGTCCACATATGAGGGAGAACTACGATTTTTGGTCTTTTGGCCAGGCTAACCTCACTCAGAATGATGTTCTCCAATTCCATCCATTTACCAGCGAATGATAATATTCGTTCTTTCTTCATGGCTGCATAAAATTCCATTGTGTAATAGATCCACATTTTTAATCCATTCGTCAGTGGTGGGTGGCCAATCTTGGCTGTTTTCATAAACTTGGGCTATTGTGAATAGTGCCCGAAAAACATGGGTGGCAGGTGCCTCTATTAGTAACCTGTGTCACAGTCTTTTGGTATATCCCCAAGAAGTGGTATTTGCTGGATCAAATGGTAAGATCAATGTCTAGCTATTTTAAGTAGCCTCCAAATTTTTTTCAGAGTGGTGTACTAGTTTACATTCCCACCAACAGTGAAGAGGGTTCCTTTTTCCCTGCATCCTCGCAACACCTGTTGTTGGTGGTGTTGCTGATGATGGCTATTTAACAGGGGTGAGGTGGAATCTTAGCGTGGTTTTAATTGCATTTCCTTTATTGCTAGAGATGGTGAGCATTTTTCATGTGTTTTTTGGCCATTTGAATTTCTTCTTTTGAGAAAGTTCTGTTTAGTTCACTTGCCCATTTCTTTATTGGTTCATTAGTTTTTGGGAGAATTTAGTTTTTTAAGTTCCCTATATTCTGGTTATCAGTCCTTTGTCTGATGTATAGCTTGGCAAATATTTTCTCCCACTCTGTGGGTGTTCTCTTCAGTTTAGAGACCATTTCTTTTGATGAACAGAAGCTTTTTAGTTTTATGAGGTCCCATTTATCTATGCTATCTCTTAGTTGCTGTGCTGCTGGGTTTCATTGAGAAAGTTCTTACCTATACCACTAACTCAGAGTATTTCCTACTCTTTCTGTATCAACTTTAGAGTTTGTGGTCTGATATTAAGATCCTTGATCCATTTTGAGTTAATCTTGGTATAGGGTGATATACATGGATCTAGTTTCAGTTTTTTTGCAGACTGCTAACCAGTTTTCCCAGCAGTTTTTGTTGAAGAGGCTGCTTTTCTCCATCGTATATTTTAGCTCCTTTGTCAAAGACAAGTTGGTTATAGTTGTGTGGCTTCATATCTGGGTCCTCTATTCTGTTCCACTGGTCTTCATGTCTGTTTTTGTGCCAGTACCAGCTGTTTTTATTGTTTATTGCTTTGTAATATAGTTTGAAGTCAGGTATTGTGATACCTCCAGCATTGTTCTTTTGACTGAGTATTGCCTTGGCTATTCGTGGCTCCTTGTGTTTCCATATAAATTTCAGTAGATTTTTCATCTCTTTAATGAATGTCATTGGAATTTTGATGGGAATTGCATTAAACATGTAGATTACTTTTGGGAGTATAGACATTTTTACTATGTTGATTCTACCAATCCATGAGCATGGGAGATCTCTCCACTTTCTATAGTCTTCCTCAATCTCTTTCTTCAGAAGTTTATAGTTTCCTTGTAGAGGTCATTTCACATCTTTTGTTAGGTTTTACACCTAGGTATTTGATTTTTTTTTGAGGCTATTGTAAAGGAATTGTTTTCATACATTCTTTTCCGTTTGCTCATTATTAGTGTATAGAAATGCTAATGATTTTTCTATGTTGATTTATATCCTGCTACTTGCATAGCTATTGATGATGTCTAGAAGCTTTGAGTAGAGTTTTTTGGTCTTAAGGTATAGGATCATGTCGTTGCACAATAGGGATATTTTGACAGTTTCTTTACCTATTTGTATTCCTTTTATTCCTTCTTCTTGCCTAATTGCTCTGGCTAGGAATTCCAGACTATGTTTGAATAGGAGTGGAGATAGTGGGCATCCTTGTCTGGTTCCTGATTTTAGAGGAATGGTTTCAGTTTTTTCTCATTAAGTTAATCTGGCTGTAGGTTTGTCATATATAGCTTTTATAATGTTGAGGTACTTTCTTCTATTCCTAGTTTTCTTAGAGCTTTTATCATGAAATGGTGTTGGATCTTATCAAGCTTTTTCTGCATCTATTGAGATGATCAAGTGGTTTTTGTCTTTGCTTCTGTTAATGTGGTTTATTACGTTTATTGATTTTCGTATGTTGAACCACCCTGCATCCTGGATGAAGGTACTTGGTCGTGGTGAAAATCTTTTTGATGTGTTGTGAATTCGGTTTGCCATTATTTGTTGAGGATTTTTATCATGTTCATTAAGGAGATTGGCCTATAGTTCTCCTTTTTGGAGGTGTCTTTGCCTGGTTTTGGGATAAGTGTAATACTGGCTTCATAAAATGTGTTTGGCGTTTTTCCCTTTCTATCTTTTCATGGAACAGTTTAAGGAGGGTTGGTATCAGTTCTTCTTTAAAGGTCTGATAGAATTCAGCAGAGAATCCATCAGGTCCTGGACTTTTCTTTTGGGGAGACTCTTGATTGCTGCTTCAATTTCATTTTGTGTTATAGATCTATTCAGGTGATTAATTTCCTCTTGGTTCAGTTTTGGATGATCATATGTATTAGAAATCTGTCCATTTCTTTAAGATTTTCAAATTTATTTGAATATAGGTTCTCAAAGTAGTCTCTGATGATTTCCCTGGACTTCCATGGTGTTTGTTGTTATCTCCCTTTTGCATTCCTGATTCTACTAAATTTGGTTTTTTCTCTCCTCATTTTAGTCAGGTTTGCCAGGGTCTATCGATCTTGTTTATTTTTTCAAAGAACCAACTTTTTGTTTCATTAATTCTTTGTATGGTTTTTTTTGGTTTCTATTTCGTTGATTTCAGCTCTTATTTTTATTATTTCTCTCCTTCTATTTGTTTTTGGGATTTGCTTGTTCTTGTTTTTTCTAGGAGTTTGAGATGTATCATTAGGTCATTGATTTGGGATCTTTCAGTCTTTTTATATGCACTCATGGCTATAAACTTTCCTCTCAGGACTGCCTTTGCTGTGTCCATAGGTTCCAGGTAGGTTGTGTTTTCATTTTTCATTGACTTCCAGGAACTTTTAATTTCCTCTTTTATTTCATCGATGATCCATTGTTCATTAAGGTAATAGTTATTTAGTTTCCAGCTGTTGCATATTTTTTTGTCTTTACTTTTGTTGTTGAGTTCTACTTTTACTGCATTGTGATCAGATGGTATGCACGGTATAATTTCTATTTTCTTATATTTGCTGAGACTTGCTTGTGCCCTAGGATATGATCTATTTTGGAGAAGATGAATGTGCCTTTTGAAGTCAGATGGACCTAGCCTTGAGTGTTGGCTCCACATGCACTTGGTCAAACAACATCTCTCTGAGCTTCACGGTGTGATGACTACTGTGGTAGGGGGAGAGTAGGGGCCATGAGAGCCCAGAAGCACTATTAACATGGAGCCTAGAAGAGCACTCAACTGGACCAGTGTTTTCTGACTTCGTTATGGGTCTCTTTTTTTTCTACAGGCATACTTTTTTGATGCACCAGAGATGGACCATCTCCCAACAACCACAGTTACTCCAAACCAAACAGTTGCAGCAATCAAGTTCAGCTAATGAGACAAGTAAGAGATTACATTTTCGTCTTGTGGTATGATATTGTAAAGAATGGGCAGGTAGGCCATGTGTGATGGTGCATGCCTATAATTCCATCTTCTTGAGAGGAGTTGATTGGATTGATCACAGTTCAAGGCTAGCTCAGGCACAGAAAAGTTAGCAAGAGCCCATCTCAACCAACAAGCTAGGTGTAGTGATGCTATACCTTAATGCAGCACGCTGTGAGACATGAATAGGTGGAGGACAACGATCCAAGGCCAGCCTTGGCACACAATGCAAGACCCTATCTAAAAAATAACTAAAGCAAAAGAGGGCTAGAGGCCATATGGCTCAAGTGATAGAGCACCTGACTAGCAAAGGCAGGGTCCTGAGTTCAAACTCTGTCAGCATCGGAACAGGGCTGGATCCTTTCTTCTTTCTGCACAATTTCATCGGGGTGGGAGGTGTGCATGTATTGTACTGTGCATGTGTCCCTATTGCTGAAAGCTTTCTGGTTTTGAAGCCACATGGCTAACTCAAGAGTTGGGTAAATGGCTCTTAGATTCTGCTGCAGAATCCCTTCCTTCATTCTAAGCATTCCCTCCTTCTCTTCACTCCCCTCCATGTCATTTCCAGCAGCACCGTAGGGGTTTGTCCATCACATAACAGTCCTAGTGGTTTTTTTGGTGTCTCAGTGACTTCTCAGGCTGATTTCAGACCCTGAGTTGGTCCCTCTTGCATGGAATTGCTCCTGGAACTCTCCAGAGGCTTCTGAATTTTCATGTCTTGTTGGTTTGGGCCTCTGAGGTGACTCCCTGCCAGTGGTTAGCTCATTGGCATTCAGGAAAAAGATGCACTGTCCAGTTTTGCCTTGCCTCCTTGTTCCTCCTTAGGGTGTCAAGGCTGCAGCATGCTGAACTTCCCCCTCACTCCTGCCTGTGCTGGGCATTGAATCCAGGGCCTTGTGTCTGCTAAGTGAGACTTTACCATGACGCTACACCCCCAGTGCAATGCTGAACTTTTTTGCCATTGCTGGAATGTATGATGTATTTGCACTTGTGCAGTTCCACTTGTCTGAAATGTTTCTTCCTTCCAACACTTCCAACACTGTCACTTACCTTTGTGATTCCCATTACACTTCATTTTATACGTACATCACTCTCTTGTGGCACTCAAAGCACTAATTGTCTATCTGTGTGTCCATCTTCCTGTCTGTTAACTTCTTCAGTCACTTGGTCATTTGCTTGTTCTCTCTGTCCTAATGTGTCTCCCCAGTTAGAATCAGCTGCTTGAGAACAAGGGGTAGGCTTCATTGCCTAGCACCTAACCTGGTCTACAGGCTGCTCGGTGAGCATTTGTGGAATGAGTGAGTGAAGCCACATTCTCACATGATCTTACTATGGATCAAGAACCTTTACTCTGACTTGTAATTCACTGACTGTCCTTTCTGCTGCTGTCTCATAGAACAGAGGGCTGTGTGCTTTACTGTAAAAAAAAATCAGGGCTTTACTATAAAAAACAAAACAAAGCATAAAAGATCAAATTAAATTAAATCCCCCTCATTCCACACACTTGCAGTGTACCTCAGGCAAGGGGCTCACTCTCTTTGAGCCTCAGCTAACTTATCTATAAAATCAGGATAACAACCTACATTAGAAGATTGTAGTGAAGATTAGACATAGCGTTTATAAAAGCTGCCGGCGCGGAGATGCTCAGTAAATAAAATCAAAGCTATTGTCCCACTGAGAGTTGGCCAGTAATTTGTATTGAAATTTAGCAGTTCTCGCTGACTTTGCCCTCGACCCTTTACTTCCTGTTTGTTAAACAAATGGGCTTTTCCCTCTTCACTGAGGAATTCAGGTTGCAGTTTCCTACCAGTTGACAAGATGTGATGGCAAAAGGTGCCTTCAGTGACCTGTTTGGTAAGATAGTCTCCCTGGCTGATGGAGTGACTAGGGACCTATTATAAAATATCACAGACCACCTCCTCTTTCTCATGGTATGTGCTGTTAGAATCAAAGTCAGAGCCCTGGCAGTCAGCAGGGGCTTCCTCATTTACAGTAAGGAAGCAAAGGGCAAGTGTCTTGTCCAAGGCCACCCAAGTGTGGTGGCAAATTTACATTTGTACATGAAGTTCTATTTTACAAGATACCAGGTCACTCCCTTTTTGGCTACTCCTACCAGCCCTGTCCACCCTGTTGTATAGATGGGGAGACAGGACTGAATATAGCTGAGTAGATCACCTCCTGCTTAGAGGCCACGCTTGAACATAGGTCTTAGGGAGCCAGTTTCTGAGGCTTTCTGCTCCTCCATTTTTGGCACTGATGTCTTTTCATCACTAAAACTCACAGGCTGCACTGCTGGCATTTGGCTGGTTTTTTTTGGTTTTTTTTGAGGTATGGTCTTACTATGTAGCCCAGGCTGGCTTCAAACTCATGATCCTCCTGCCTCATCCTCTAAGTGCAGGATTTCAGGCACCTGGGTGGGACAGTTTACTTGACTTGACCTCTTCAGCACCTGGCCTAGTGCCCAGCAGGTCTAGGTAGCACAGGCACCCAATTTGTGTTGGAAGGTAGACAGTCCTTTATGACATGAAGGCACAAGTCAGGATGAGGGTTTTTCCACCGAGCTTAGGGCCACCATTTATTTACTTACACACTATTAAATCTACTCTGTGACCTCTGTGGGCCATGCCTTGGGGACCTAGACAATCAGATACAGATTTGAGGAACCTCAGTCTGATGGGTACAGCAGCCTAACAGTGAGGGCACATTGTGTGAGAAGTTCCTCAGACACAGGTTACCATCTGAGCACTGTCTGGGCGCAGAAGGAGTGACATAGTTGATTCCACAGGGGAGTCTTGTTTAACAGGGTCCTAAAGTTGAGTACAAGTAATAAACTACCTGTTGTTTGTAAAAGCAGTCTGTTCCCATGGCTTGGGAAGGAAAGATACAGGCTGAGCAGTGGGACATGATGATACCACGTGGGCTCGTATGTCTGAGAACAAGGAAGTCTGAGCCCAGCTGGAGAGGGAGTGAGAGAGAACACAGGGGCAACAGTTGCCCGGGCCTCTCCTTTGGCCCAGAATACCTGACATCACTTTGTGGGGGACTCTCTTGACCTGCCCCTGAGCTGCAACTTCAGTCCCTTCCTTATAATTTGTTGTAAAGGCTCCAAACCAAGAACCCCAGGTGCTGTACTTGAGAGAGTCAGAGCCGTGTCTGAGAAGAGTCTGGCCCTCGGGACCCTTGAAGGTCTCACAGCCTGGTTTACACAGATTTGACACCTGGGCCTTTGCTCAGATCTGGTGACTTGGGTGTCAGCGCCTGCATTTGGGTGTCAAGTCTCCAAATGAGATAGTGATGAACGGCTTCTTTGTAGCCTCTCTGGCAGAAGCATCAATTGCTTTGCCAATAAGAGAGGCTGTCCAGAACCCTGGGCACTACAGATTTATGAACTGGCTTGCCTTCTGCTGTAATCTCTGGACTCCCAGCTTTCACAGAAAAAGGATGGCTTCTAATTTCAACAATAACCTTCCCTGTGTAAATCTGTGCATGGGAAGGCTTAGCCTGGAACGGTTCCTGCGAGGGCATTAACCCCTTCTCTCCCTGGCACCTCAGGATCCCAGAAGAGCCTCTAATTACTTGGGAGCAGTACAGTTACCCCTATATACATCATCGAAATAGTATAAAAGTCTCTGGCTTTCAGTCTTACTTTTTCACTAACTTATCACTTGAGGACCCTGTCGTTTCTTCTCTGAGTGCCAAGACCCAGGTGAAGCCTAGAAGCTACCTGGAAAGCTCCACTTTGGCTTGAGGGATGGAGTGTATAAAGGGCCGCATGCAGACTGGAGCTCTTCCTATGGGCGTCCTTTCTGAGGAGGGCAGCCAGCTGATAACTGTGCTGCAGTGATAAAGGCTTTACTAATAGATGAACAAGGGGCTTCTGGAGAGTCCTTTGCAATTAAAACCCCCCACTGATTGCCTTCACAGACTCTGTATGCAATTATCCTTTCATGCACTTGTGTCAGACTATTCGCCAAAGGTACAAACCATTTTACTAGGTTCATGCACATTGATTCTTTTATTCTGGAATCGGCTTTAACTTAGTGCTGTAATTCCCATAGCATGACATCCAAACTGCATGATTTCACGCCCTTGCTATGTGGTTTTCTGTCCTTTCCATTCCATGTCTGAAGCATCCCTGCCCAAAAAATCTGGTTTCAGTCACTGGGCTATTTCTTCCTTAGCTTTCATCTTCATTCCCCTTCTTTTAGATAGGTTGGGAGAATTTGGGATGGCAAATGGGTCAACTTAATAAATTTTTTTCTTTGTTTAACGTAGTGAAGATTTTTAACATAGACAAAGGTAGAGGAGCCGGGCGTAGTGGCACAGGCCTCTAAACCCAGCACTCAGGAGGCAGAGGCAGAAAGGCTGTGGGTTTGAGGTCAATCTGTGCTACACACGGAGACCCTGTTTCAAAAAAGAGTAGAGTGGGTAATAAATGTAAAGTTATTATTTGTATTGTACTGACAATTGCCAACTTATTCCTCTCTTGTTTATCCATAGGCCTGTCTACTCCCCTGTTGTTATTTTGAGGCAGGATCTCACTAAACAGCCCAGGCTGACCTTGAACTCAGGATTTTCCCTCTACCTCCTGAGTGCTTGGATTACACCACATTCATTTTCCTCCTTTTTTTTTTTTTTTTGGACAACTCAAAAAAATAAAATTCTGGTTTCCCCATATTATTCTGAAGCAAATCTGAGACATCCTATTATTTCATTCATACATATTTAAATTCTGTATCTATAAAAAATACACTTTTAAAAACATCACCACAATACCATAATCATCATATCTAGAAAATAACTCTCTAATATCAAACACATTTCAGTATTTGAATTTTAAGTTACTTTATAAATATCATAACTTTTTCAGCTTGTTTGATTCAGATCTAAATTAGGTCTACTTATTGCAATCTGTTGATGTGTTTATATATTATTATAGATTCCTACTCCATCTTCCTCTCACTCTCCCTTTCTTTCCCTTTGCCATTTATCTGTTGGAGAATCATTTGGCCTGTAGTTTCTATCTGTATGGATTTTGCTGATTATTTTGTGATTTACTTTATTTGTTGTTCTGTTCTCTGAATTAGTGATTGAAATAAAGACTTGATCGATTCATGTTTGCTTTTTCTCTGTGTATTTTTTGGCAAGACTACTTGATAATTGTGCTGTTAAATTCTTCCACCCTAAAAATCATAATGTCTAATTTCTCTTTAATGTTAAGGCCATGAGCAAACAATGCCTAGATCTGTTAATCCACTAGGGATCTCAAAGTGATATTTATGTCTATCTTTATTTACTTATTAAATAAAGTACTTCTTTTTTTTTTTTTTTAACAGACAGGATCACAATGTAGCCTAGGCTGACCTTGAATTCACTGTCCTCTGCCTAAGCTTCCTGAGTGCTGGGATTACAGACACATGCTCCCATGTCCAGCTAGAATACTTTTTAGAGAGTTTTCTTTTTTTTTGGCAGCATGGAATCTGAACTCAGGGCCTGATACTCACTAAGCGGGCGCTCTACCACTTGAGCCACATCCCAACCCTAGAATACTTTTTAAATAAGAACTTCCCACATCTGTTTGGTTACCCAGTTTGTATGGGACAGACAAGAGAAATTACTCCTTTTTTTGTTTCCTTCCTTTCAAAATAGTAGTTGATTCACTAGAACTCTTCAGCAACGACCCATTAGCTATAGTCCATTGCTAGTACCATCTTTATTGATGCTCAAATTGTCCCATTTTTGGCTATTGGAAGCCTCTTCAGGTTGGCTTCTGAGTGTTGTTGACATGGCCTTAAGAATCTCTGATAACCACAATAACTGCCTTGCTATCTGTTGTGACAAAATATTCCAGGCTCATTTTCAACATTTCCTATTCCAGATCAGGCCATTTCTCTAAGGAGTCCTGGTTCCTTTCAGAGGGGAAAAAGTACTTCAGGATCACAAAGTGGATGCTAATGATGCTCATTGCAATGGCTTGGGCATTGTTTACAGGCCTGTTGTATTCAGAGCTAGGAAGTGGTAGTCTGCTTGTTTGTTTACTTGCTTTTAAAGGAAGATACCTTGTGAGTTCATACTGATACTTCCCACTCCTGTTTACTATCACAAAGTTTTTACTGAATTCTTATATTTGTGTATCTCCTTTCTCTCTTGCTAAAGGTCTCACTTTCCATGATGCTAGCAGTTATAGAATTGGAATATCAAGTAAGTATCTACTTGTTTTATCCACTGTACACTTCCTATACATTTGTAACAATCTAATAATAACAGTATCACCATTACCACTAATGTGAGCTCTAGAATGTCCTTCCTTTCCTTGTTAACTTGGCAATTTTCTATTGATCCTTTATGACCCACTTCAGGTATATATGTATTAACTTTCCCAAGTAATAATACTTACTTTCGTCTCTGTGCTCTTCTATAGCTCTTAGTATTTCTTCTATTACAGCAATTTTCTTTCTTTCTTTTTTTTTTTGGTGGCACTGGATTTAAACTCAGGGCCTCACACTTGCTAGGCAGGTGGTCTACCAATTGAGCCACTCACCAACCCATTTTTGTGTTGGATATTTTTAGGATAGGGTCTCACGAATTATTTATTTATTATTATTTTTTTTATTTATTTTTTATTTATTTATTATTTATTTGAAGTCTGGCTTCAAAGTGGGATCCTCCTGATCTCTGCCTCCTGAGTAGCTAGGATTACAGGCATGAGTCACCAGCACCCGGTTGCAATTTTCATATTTACTGTAACTTCCTAGACTTCAAGTTCCTTGAAGACAGGACTTTATTCACCGATATGGCCCCAGAACCCAGCAAACACTCAGAGAAAGCTTGATTTTGATCAAGTGATAATTGTGTATATCCTGAGGCACTCACAACTTTCCTGGCAAAGTGACTTTGGAAGTGTCACTCCAAATGAATGAGACCCTCATTCACTGAGGGTCTACCCTGAGTGAGGTGCCAAGACTAATGAGGTAAACAGTGGTGATAGGTCCTTACCCTCCCAGACTGGGCTCCCCAGTTTTATATCCCATGCATCACACGGACTAGAAGACCCTTCTAAATTAAAGAGATGACTATGGGAACTTCTTACTGGAACACCCCAGAGCAGGGTGGTAACCATGGCCAGGTATGGGTGTAGTAACGAGGTAAGGAAAGGAACAGGGAACATCCAAGCCATGTTGGGGCCATCCAAGATGGGGAGCCAGAGTGGCCAGGTCAAGTCTCAGGCAGAGAAGTACAGGCACTCTTTGAGAGAGAAAAGTGCTAGCTGATACTGACATTATGGACTAAGTTGGTGCCAAGGCCAGCATCATCTTACTCTCCACCCTCTGCCCTAAGTGCCAGAAGGCCGCTGCTTCTCTGCAGGCCACAACTGAAAGCTGACAATAGCAGAAGAGAATGTTCTGTTTAGTCTTGACACTGATTTGGAACAGACAGCTAGAAAGGTGAGAGAAAAACAGAGCATATATTTATGAAAATAAACCCTTTAGTGCTTGCAGTGGGATAGTTTGTCTCACCTTTATTTAGCATTTCAGAAACCCAAGCTGGTGTTTCCAGAAGGCTTTCACTCTAGCAAATTACAGCTTCCACCCTTCTGCAGCCACTTGTCACAGACACTTTATTGGCTGCATTTCCCTTCTCTTGAGCCAGTAGACTTGGGCAGATAGCCCTTGCTCCAGCTTCCCCTTCATGGTATGGTCCAGCAATTGACATCTGAATGTGGAACTGCCCTGCTGATGTTTCCAAAGAGGCCTTGGCTCACTCTTTAAGTGAAAGCTCATGCATTAGGAGCCTTCTCTGCACATGCCTTCATCTCCCCGGTTTAACTCTTTCAAGTTCCCATCACTTATAAATCCTGACTCAGTGCCTCAACTTCATTACATCCCAAACTAAGTCTGCTTCCTACAACCAGATCATCCATGTTTCCCCTTCTCAGCAAATGGTACCACATGCACGCTTGTCCCGACGTGAGCTAGGTTAGAGTCTTTATTGTACCCTATCATAGTAATTATAATTAATAAACTAACATTTTATGTATTTGTTTTACTTTGTTCTTTCCCCTGCTAGATTGTAAGTTTCTTTTCTTTTTCTTTTTTCTTTTTTTTTTTTTTTTTTTTTGTGGGACTGGGGTTTGATCAGGGCTTCACATTTGCAAAACAGGCATTCTACCACTTGAGCCACACACAGTCCAAACTGTAAGTTTTTGAACCTGGATAATGCCTATCTTGTTTATCATTGTACTCAGGGCCTGCAACAGTGCCTGGCACATGAGTCTTCTTTAAATATTTGTTGTTTTAATTAAAAACTCCACCCCAGGCCAGGTGTAGTGGTTCATACCTGTAATCCCAGCTGCTTAGGAGGTGGAGATAAGGAGGATCATGGTTCAAAGTCAGCCTGAGCAAAAATCTAGGTAGATTCCATCTCAACAAAAAGCTGGGAATGGTGGCATGCACCTGTGATCCTACTATGTGGGAGACTGTAGGTAGGAGGACATTGCTCTGAGGCTGAACCTGGGCAAAAAATGTGAGACACTACCTTAAAAATAACCAAAGTAGAAAAGGACTAAAGGTGTGGCTTGAGTGGTAGAATGTCTGCCTAGCAAGCATCTGCATTCAAACCCTAGCACTGCCAAAAAAAAAAAAAAAAAAGGAAAAAGAAATCCACCCAGTCACCCAAGCTAGAAAGTCAAAGTCAATGAAGATTCTTCCGTCTTGCCTACATCTTATCAGTCAACAAGAGTTGTGTCTCCCATTTCTGAGTGCGCCTCAGGTCTGTGCTATGGTTGCCATATGTGTTCAGGACCTGCTCATTTCCCATTTGAACTGTGGTAACGGCTTAATAGTTTTTTCCATCTCTTTGCTTTTCCTCCTTTCTAACCCATCCTTTATTCAGGGGTTTTCAAGAATAAATAAACCTAACTGTATCTTCAACTATGTTGCCTCTTTACATAGACCCCATCCCACTCCCCTTTTTTTTTCCTTTGGCCACCTGTTGTCTAAAAGAGAAACCCTAAATTCCCCAGATTGCCATGATCTACTCCAAATCTTTGAGTCCTGATGACCTTGTGTTTAACCTTGCTTTCAACTACCACACATGGCTTTCCAGTTCCCAAATCATTGTAAGTCCCTCTATATCCCTTTTATTGTCCCTCCTCTGTGCCCAACACAAGCTGCCCCAGAGAAGAGACAGAAAGAAGGGGGTGAAAGGAACTTGTGGATCTGAGTGGGAGAAGGTCCCTGAGTTTCCAAGGAAATAGAGGAGAGCCTGAAAAAATTGCCATCTCCCTTCCAACAGTGATCACTACTTTGAACAAGAAATCAGGGTTCCAGTCTCAAGATTTTGGGAGTTGGAGGCAGCATTGGTGGTGAAGTTACACATTTAATCATTAAATACCCTTTTTGATGGCTTAGCTCCTTTCTGTAGGGAAGAATCTTTATCTTGAAAGTTATCTTTTTTGTTTTTCAGTTCTCTTTTATGTTTTGGGAGTGTGGTTCTTCTGGATATGGCATCCACTGACCTATAGCAGAATGGCCAACGCCAGCAAGAAACTGACAGATGTACCATGCTGAAGCCACATTGCCTGTTTAACAACCAAAATGTAAGGGTTGGTGTGGGGGTGTAGCAGAGTGGTAGAGCACTTGCCTGGCATGTGTGAGGCCTGGATTCAAACCCCAGCTCCACACACACAGACACACAATAAATAAATTAAATATTGTTCAGCACATGTGTCTTTCAGTTCTTTTCCACCACTGAGTACTGCTGTGACTTGCGCTGATTGGGAATGAAGTGTGAGGGAGTGGGTTAGGCATGCCCACATGCCCCCCATTTGCTTCCCACAGGCAGACAAGACACGACATGCTTCACTGTAGGGCCGCCCCTCCCACCTGAAAGAGACCTAACTTCTGTCCTTTCTCTGTATTATATCCTTCTCACTCCAAAAACTTATCCTCACACTCCTAAAGTAGACAAACAGATTAATTGGGAACTTGGAAATTTATCTTTGGTAACCTGATATTGGGCAACTTAGGTTGCAAAATGACTACCTTACATAATGTCTGTGTCTGCATTTTGTCACTTTGACCTCAAGTCTTTCCTTGAGGTCTTTATCTTTAGTGTGCTTGGGGATGCTGGAAGTCTGATTTAATGTGGAGCTGTTATGATTGTAGGCTAAAATGGACATCTGAGACCCCACCTCCAAAATAACCAGAGCAAAATGGACTGGAGGTGTGGCTCAAGAGATGGAGTGCCTGCGTGGCAAGCACGAAGCCCTGAGTTCAAACCTCAGTCCCACCAAAGAGATAAAAAAAAAGCAAAGCCAGGGGGAAATCCTACATTCTAGAACAATAAAAATAAATCAGCATCCTAGAGAAAGTGGCAAAAGCAGAAGGCAGGCAAGGGAGATCTAAAGGTGTTACCACTGTCCTTGAAGAAATAAAAAATAGGGATGGAAATGTGGCTGAATTGGTAGGGTGCTAGCCTAGCAAGCACAAAGCCCGGAGTTCAAACCCCAGCGCCACCAAAAAGACAAAACAAACCAAAAAAAGCAATAGAGAAGAATAAATATGAATTCCTATAACTAAAAAATATTTTCCTAAGAAAAAAATCTAAGCTAGGCACAGTGGTCCAAGCTTGTAGTCCCAGCATTCAGGAGGCAGAGGCAGGAAGGTGAAGAGTCCAGGCCAAACTGGGCTACATAGTAAGATCCCATCCCTACACCCCTCACCCCCAACTTAAAAGATACCACTGGGCACCAGTGGCTCACGCCTATAATCCTAGCTACTTGGAAGATGGAGATCAGGAGGATCAAAGTTCGAGCCAGTCTAGGAAACTAGTTCATGAGACCCCATCTGCAAAGTAACCAGAGCAAAATGGACTGGAAGTGTGGCTTAAGCAGTAGAATGCCTGCTTTGTAAGTGTGAAGCCCTGAGTTCAAACCTCAGTCTCACCCCAAAAAAAAAAAAAAGACATGATATAGAAAGGATACACCTCATTTTGAGAAATCAACACAGAAGATCAACAATGGAGACATATTCTGTAAATTAGTAGAATTTTAAAGAAAAATGTTTGAGGCATACAGGGTTGTTTGGAATAAAGACCCTCGGTGCCAAAAACAAACACACCAGAGACAGAGAAAAATCTTGATGAGGCAATTTCTATTGATTTAAAGGGTGCAAGCACGTATTCACTCCACTGAGCGGACAGTGAACACACAAATGGTCGACAGTGACTCCTCCTCATATCCCTGACGCAGTTGTACCGCCCCTTACCTGGGATTTGTCCAGGTCAAAGGTTCACAATCTCTCTCGATTGGCTGAAAGGGTTGGGGGATGGCTTAAGGCACATAATTTGGTGGGCAATTCTCACAGGCAATGGGACTGTACAAGAATCCAGAAGAAGAAACAGAAACCCTTTAAACAATGCAAGTCAACAAAGATGGCGACCTGAGGAATTTTAAGTAACCTAAGAGGGTGACATACACTTTGATAGAAAAGATCGTTTTTCTTACAGGGTGAAGGCAAATTCATGGGAAAGAAAACCATAGTGCCATCAGATTTTTTGGACAACAGTGCTTTATGTCAGAAGTCTAGTGACATAGTTTAAGGTCCCCCAAAAAAGAAATTGTGAGCTAAGGATTTTTGCCTCCAACCAGAGTGTTTCAGGGATAAAAGCACAGGTTAAAATGTTACCAACACGGAATCTTCCCGTGAGTCCTGTCTGAGGCACCTCCTAGGGACATCAGGGTGACAGGCAAGACATCCACA